TGGGGCAAATTATTATATTACAGCTACGTGAAAAAAGGTCATGAAAATAAGAGCGGGAGGCTACGACATAAACTAAAACTATCACCAGTGCACACAGCAACATGTCGCAAAGAGATGTGTTGCTGTTTGATATGCGAAATAGAATTAATATTAGGGCTCTTAACGGTCGGGTGGCACACCTTTTATGTCAATTAATCATGGTTTGCGTCATGCAGAGATTTACAATACACAAAAGGCGAGGTCAGTCCTCATATATTTTCATTATATTCAATTAGAGGAATGGGTCACTCATACAGAAACATAGCAGAAACACTGTGGTGCATCATGAGTGAGCCTAAGTTTCACTCTCTGGCTCTTAAACAGCCAATTCTGCTGAGTTTCAGATTCAGCCCGAGTCCTGAAAAAGTGCTTGCATAGCTCACGTGGCTGGAAAACTGCATGACACTCCTGTCATTTATTATAAACTGTTGAAGTTTGTGTGTAAACACCAGTTGTCAATATTATTGATGGCAGCCGCTGACCCACGTCCACACAATGTCAGGTGGTGTAGAGAGGACAGTGAAGGAAATCTGACATTTCTCTGTTTTAAACCACAGGAGAAAAGAAATGTACAGTCATACAGCGATGAATTGAAAGGAAGGTAAATACCTGCATGTTGAGGAGCAGTATTTTTATTATCTCTGAATAAAGCTTTAGCCCTCCTCCTGTTTTAGGGTCTGCAACGACCCGTTTTTGATTTTAAATGCTTAAAAGAGCCACTTAAAATAGCCTTTTTGCATCAAGACTTTTTGACTTTGTCAGGAACCTCTATCTCAACAAAATAAAAATAAAAAAATTTAATTGACTTAATTCAGTATAGATGTATGTATGATGGGTATACTGGCAAAGAAAGGCCCAGAGGACCACTACAAAAACTAATATATGCAATATTTTCATGTGTAATGAAGCCTAACAAGGTAACCCAGAGATGAGAACCAAACTGGATGATAGAGAATTGTTTTTAGTGTAATTCACAGCTGATTTAAGACACAGGTCAAAACCGACCCTGAACATGGTGGGTGCGTTGTAAAAGCTAAAGCAGGAGGAAGGTTAAATTCAGCTAGGAGTGTCACGCCTCTTTCTTTCAGAGAAGGAGCAAAGGAGGAGAAGTGGGGACCATGTGGAGAAGACTGAACAGGTGACGGCGGAAGACTGTCCAATGAAAATGACTTTGCTGATGTCTGCTGAGTAATAGAAGCTGACATCTGCAGGTGTCAGCAGAATTTTTTATGGAATCTCCCCCCTCTCAACAGGGTGTCACGGCAGATATTTCATGTCAACGGGCGGATGCAGTGAAACCTTCGAGTCCTGGCGCGCTCTAACCTCTAAAAAAGGCCGACATCAGCAGGGTGACCTGTCATCCCACGTGGATGGCGACTGACCTGGCCTGTGCTTTCAGGAGCAGGAAAAAACAGTAAACAAACACAGTCATCTTGTGCAGCAACATCACACCAAAAGAGGCACATTTCCCCATGAAAGCACTTGCATAACTTGTCCTTCAGAGCTGTGCTACATCCAAATTTGGCTTTATGCTAATTTTGTCTGTCCCTGGTAGTCTGTATATGTGTTTGCATAACATAACAGCACCAGTTTACCTCAAATTAATGCACATTTTTGGTGTCCTAAAATGCTGCTGAGTCGGTGGGCGGGGTGCAAAGGCCACTATGCTGCAGGAAATGTCACTGCAGTGTATTTTTGGTGAAACTGAAAACAAAGGCAGGCTTAGCTGCAAGGGTTGAGGGAAAGTTAGAGCTGATATGAGAGGAAAAGGAAATTCAAAATGAAGACTTGAGGAGACGTCTACCTTTGATACTGTCGATCAAAAAATCATTCCACTGGTGTAAAGCACACAGGATTCAGGTTCTATGCATGTGCAGATCCACTTAGTTGACACTTAAAGCTCCTGTGAGGAGTTTTTTGACCCCCATGAAATAGACTGAAATTTGTATTGAGGGCTTTTTATGATATCTAAAAGCAAACCAGACCTTTAGGGACATTATTTATGATTTTTAAATAGTATTTTTTTGTGCCCAAAACAAGAGCAAGAGGGAAGGTTAACAACAGATGAGCTGATGTCTGTATCAGCCAATACAGATGTTGAACTCCTACATTGGTGTGTTCTGATTTCTGTTTTGTGTCTAACTCCAGGTAATTTACGGATTTCGAGCACCGAATTTAGGATGACCATACACCCTCTTTGACCCGGACATATCCTCTTTTTGGGGGGCTGTTCGGCCTTGTCCGACTTTGTCTGGGGAAGTTTATAAAATCCTTCAAATGTCTGCGGTTTTGTATGGAAGTTTTGAGTTTAGACTTACTGAGTTAGAAGCTCATAAAAGACGCTCGATCCGACCTGAAAAGGTTAGATTAACAAAATTAACTCTATGCGACTCCATGACTCCGCCCCTGCGTAATCGTGTCCTCTTTTTGTGGATTTAGAATATGGTCACTCTACTGAATCAAATTCCTTAAGGACGACAAATATCCTCCTTAAGTGTGTTCACCTTCGTGCCACAATTACTAAAAAGGCAGAAATATTTCAACATGTCGTTCGTAAATTGTTCTTCATGCGAGAGAATTCCTGTTTCAGCTTCATTTGCAGTAAACTGCTGACTTAATCCCTGCATTGATCATGAAAAAGTGTTTCAAGGTGGTCCGCAACACGCTAATTACCACCCGTCTTCTCGCTCGTCTTCTTGTCTAGTCTGCACATGTGAACCACGTGTGATCCTGTGTTCCCTCTGTGTGGTGTGTGGTGAGTGGTGTATGAGTGAGTGTGTGTATGAGAGAGCTTTGATCTTCCCCTGGATGACTCCTGGGGTGAGAGTGGGAAGCTCATTAGTTGTGCCTTTCACCTGACTGCAGTAGACAATAGGAGTAACCATCACTAATGAAGTCACACATGATTACCATGTTCTGTGGTGGAGGTGTTATACGGAGCGTGCCTGCACTGCTGCATGTTCATGTGATATGAGCTGGATGTTAAAGTCTTATTCGTACATTGACACAAAGGCAGGACTGAGCGTGGCCTGTGTGTTGCAGTTATGCTGACTAAGCATTTACTTAACGCATCGAAAAGAAAATGTTGAAGCATTTTTACTAAAACAAGAAAATCAAACTGAATATTTAGTTATAATTACTAAAAAATAATCCATATCACAGGGCGCTGCTGGTCTTGCTATATATTTACATGCACCATTCATGGAGGTTGTGCCTCAAGCTGTTTGATTCCAGCCTGTGTCCTCTTTCCGGCTTGTCACTCAACTCTCTTTCATTTCCTGCACTATTCACTGTCCTGTCTTCTCAAATAAAAGGCACACAAAAGCCCCCCGAATGACAAAAAACAAACAAACAAACAATCTGATGAGTAGATTTGAATAACAGAAAAAAGGAAGAAGGTCTCAGGGCCATGCAATCAATTCTTGATGTGATGCAAACCTCCAGATTTGAATAACTGATGATGAGATATTTTCAGGTAGTTTTTAGATTAATTACTGAATAAGGACCATGATGATGGTGATCAAAAAAACTAATCAACATGCTCTAGGTTTCTCAATTTATTGTGTTTGGCCCTGTAAAAATCCTCACATGATGTTGGTGGTTCAGTTATTTAGCTAATGTACCTGTATATACCTTTTCGTCTCAATTTCTTAAAAATTCAACAGTAGAGATGCCCTGAAGCAACCTATTTCATTTTCATTTAAGGAGAAACTTCAATTACAAATGTCTGGATAGTTAAAGGGATATTCCGGCGTAAAAATTAATTTAGGGTCAAACACACCATAACACTGCGTTAGACACCCTGTCAAGAGATGAATGTTGCCGACCGCTTGCTTCTCTAGTTATACCAACTTTAGTAACGATCACAGATAGCAATACAGAGAGTCTAACCAAAATGCCACTGTATGGCCACAAATAATGCTCAGAATAGCACCTAACCTTATCAACAGTGCATATAGGGTCCCAGCCACAGCACTAGCCACCAAACATCTTTTTAGCTTTGCCTAATTTCTTTAGCAAAGAGACCAAACACAACTCACCTACTCTCTTCCAGCAGCCGCTTGTTTGTACGGAGACCTCAGGCCAGTCCATTACGGACTACTGCGGGGTGACACAGCTCAAGGAAGAACATTAATGATCGTGGTCTCTTTGTTAAAGAAATTAGGCAAAGTTACAATATGTTTGGTGTCTAGTACTATGGCTGTGACCCTATATGTCCTGTTGATGAAGTTAGGTGCTGTTCTGAGCATTATTTCTGGCTATAGAGTGGCGTTTTGGTTGAGTGCGTGGCTCTCTGTGTTGCTATCTGCAGTCGTCACTAAAGTTGGTATAACTAGCAAGCAGTCGGCCACATCTCTCAACGGGATGTCTAACTCAGTGTTACGGTGTGTTTGACCCTAACTTTATTTTACGCCAAACTATCCCTTTAAATACCCTAGAAAACTTTAAAATATTACAGTATAAAATGTATTAAAAAGTTGTTGATGTGAGTTGTAGCTCTGTTGCAGACTAGCAAAAGAACTGACATCTTATCTTTGGCTACAAGCCTTTGCTTTTTCAGTAGATAGTATTCCTTTAGAGGGACCTTTGTTTCACCCCTCTGTGACCCATGACTGTTTTTATCCAATTTTACACTCTGGTTGTTACATCTCCAAAGTTCAGCACCATTTAAAACAATAAAGTCCTGGAGGCAGCCTGTAGAAATCATGCTTGAGGGGGATCTAACTTTTTGTACTTTGAAGTCGGGGTGACTGACAAACCTGCTGTTTTTCTCTCAACTACAAATGCTTAAGCTTCTGTCAGTGAGCAGTAAAAGAGTATGTCCTTATCTGTAGAAATACTGTATCAACAGAAACCTGTAAAACTGTTCGTGTTGGATCAATTAATCCTATACTTTGTAAAATAACAACAACTCCCTTTTTAATTAATGACTTTGCGCCATGGTGAACAATGCACAAAGTTTAGGGTTTGATGAGAGTTTGCATCTGCTGTGGCTCCACAGGGCCGGTGTATTGTTTCCATGGTGTGGAGCTCTGCAGAAATGAGAGGAAGTGCGTAAGAAAAGCTTTCCAGGGCGCTTGGATGACATCCCGCTGTATTTATTACCTGCTCGTCCTTCCTCTGCTCTCCTGCTGAGGTAGGTGAGTCACACACTACTCTCCAGCTCTCATCTTTTTCGTCTTTGCTCTCTTCCTCTCGTACCTCTGCTACTCCATCATCTACTTTGTGTCCTCTCCTAATACCCACCTCTTCTTCCATCTGTCTCTCTCTTTCCTTCTCCTCCTTGGACTTTTGCAATCGAGCATCCAGCCCCTGAAGGAAGAGTTTGAAAGGCATTCATTAGAATAAATGAGTGTACTTTCAGAAGTTTCTCCAACCTCCAGGGAGGTGCGAAAATCAAGTGTTAAAAAAGAGGAGTGGAGGGAAGTGAAAAAACAGACAAAAAGGAACAAGATAATGACAGACTGTGAGAGATTGTACATCAAGGGCTTCTTTGTACATTATTAGGTCGATATCCTAATCTCAGTGTCTGCAATGCAGTTCTGCCGAGCTTTATCAGCCTGTTCTCCTCCCTTTCTACGGAGGAAAGCCCACAGAAAAACCATTTACTCTTTTTCTTTGATGTGGGGAGCTTTATGCCATTCTGAGGCCCTTCTCTCCATGTTAAAACAGAGATTTCTGAGCTCTCAGATACATCTGATAGCGGTTGAATTGTTTCTGAGAGCAGGCAGAGGCAGAAATTGTCCTGCGGCTATGAAAGGCAACTTGGGTCCACTCTTATTACCTTCCTTTCTTTTTGGCGCAGTAACAAAAGGTCAAGTGAGGGGAATTACCTGGGAGAGATCTGCTTTATCCTTGAGGAAAGAGGCAAAGAAAGAAAGATTAATTTCACTAAATGTATTTGTGACGATCACCAGGAGCTGCTAATTAATTATAGTCTTAACGAGTGGAGAGAGAGGGGGAGCAAATTCCCCCTGTAGATGGCGGTCACGTGTTGAGGGATTTGATCTTGTCACTGTTTGTTTAAGCTGTAATTAATATCCCAGCCTGTGCAAATAAGACTAACCAGAGCTTCTGCATGTTGGGACCACATTTAGAGCCTATTATTAGCCTATTTTTTATTTATGCAAATGCTAACAGATTTGCAAATTGTCATGCACAAACTCACGGTTATGCACCAAATTATACTCACCGGTTTGGATTTAGCTTTTTTAGACTGCATGCACACATGAAGAGGGCTGTGCTTGGGCTGCTTTTTGTACTAAATCCAAATCTCTTCTTTCTTATCCTATGCCAATTTGTCGTTTCAAAGTGTGGATTAAAGAATTGTGGGTTTGTGACTGAGTAAACATAAAAAACACCTTGTCCTCTTCCCACACGATTCGCCGATGAGGGAATTGTGCCGCCAGCCAGAACAAAGATAACGGACATCAGGCGGTGAAACGTGTCACAGTGGAGTAGTTCTGGTTAGGTTATGAACACTATATAACATCCGCCCATGTCTTACCTTAATCAGATAGCTCTTCTATTTACTAATTGGACTGCGATAATGATTTACTCCTAATATAAATGCAGGAGCCAATCAATGACCCTTTAACATCAATATGAAATTTTGTCCTCGTAAGCTTTGGTCACTTTCCTATTCCAGATTTCACCTTCATTGAACTCCAAATTTAACGAGATACAATGAAAGTCTTACATTCATATTTTTGTCCCTATCATTAAATTTTGATCTCCATATTTTTTCTTTAGGATCTCTGTCACAGTTCTGTCTCAGAGGGGGCATGTGATTTTCAGAGTGAGGGATTAGACTGTAGCCCGGTTATAAATCTTGAACTGCTCTGATTTAGTAACCATGAAACCTGCAGTCCTCTGACAGCCGTGAAATGTTGATTTCATCAATCTTGTCCTAAGAGACAAACTGGCAGATTTGAGTATGTTTGATATTCAGCATTTCTGTGCAGTCAGGGTCTCTTCTTGATAAGTTTCAGTCGCTCCAGTATAAGCTCTGTATTAATATTCCTTGTTGCGAATATATCTTTCTGTGGAGCCAAACATAAATACAATCACCAATTTTCTTTGTTATAGTAAATGTCTTTGTCATTTTCAATTCGTCTCAGTAAATTGAATTAATTCCTAGCTTTACATGATTGATTCATCAAACCTTAATGCGATCTACCCATTTGAGATGAATTTGTTATGGATACAAGATTAATTTAGTCTTTTCAGTCCTTTATTTCTACCTTTGTTCTGTGTGTTAATGTATTTTTCTGGCTGATCATGTTCCAAGTGAGATAAAATCGACTGTAATTGAGTATTAATGACCCTCCACGCCCTGTTTTTTTCTGTCTAATCGGGAGCAGGCCGGCTGACATCCAGCAACAGGATTAATGGAACACCTAGATCTAGACTCACATCTCGCCGCGCCTCATCTCGGTCTCACATGCCAATGAATTTAACTCCCGACTGCCCTTTCAGTTCCTATTTGCTTATTGATCGTAGATTTTCATCAGTCTTAAGTGTTGAGGTATTGCAGGGAGGAGGGACATGAATCTTACACCAAATAGCTTCAGGAGCTATAAGTTAGAGTCAAAAACAGGTGCTTCTTGCCCAGTGAAAGCCCGGCCTTAACCTGTCAGACTGGGGCTAGCATTGTAAATCCAGGCCTGGCACCCTATGTGATGGATATGTGGGGATTGGAGTGATGGCCTTAATACCGTCAGGCTGACCTGCAGGTTAATCACGATGTGCTGTTTAAGCAGCCTAGCACTGGCAGGAACACACCTAAAAAAAAAAAGCCACACACCTCTGTCACACACACACACACACACACACCTGTATTCTGCATACTTATGCAGAAGCTCTACACCTGTCAAGCACTTTTTGCTGCATTCATGTGCTACCAACAGGACGTAGGTGTATCATATCACAAGCACACAGCAGAAGTCAAAGCCCACACTGCTTCTTAGCGTTTTCCCAGGAGAGAGGGCGGGTTTCTGTCACACTGACCTTTCAATCTGCCGATTTAGCATGTCAGTCAGCGTCCACTCTCAAGGGGGGACCAAAATGGATCACCCATGTTGTAATGTGTAGGTTGCAATGTAAATATCTCATTAATTTCAACTGTTTGAACCGTCTCTTTTTGCTTTACTTTACATTCACAAGTCTAATTGGCTGCTTGTCACTGCCATGTTAACACTGACATGTTGTGTAAATTAAAATCATTTGTCGTTGGATTTTTTTTTTTTCATGCTAACTGAATAAAATATCTGAAACTGCATTGACTGCACATGCAAAACAGGCATTTCGTGTGAGCAGGCTTCGCTGCATTCCTATTATCTGGAATGAATATGCTGACTGGACATGCATAATACATGAGAAAAATGAGTGTTATTGCAATGCGCCTATCTTAGTGGCAGTCCCTTCTGCCTCTTAGCATTGTCAAAACAGACACTTGTATGCACTAAAAGGGACATCACAGCACTGCACTGAAGTCCCATGGTTTAAGACATGATGCCAAGGCTATAAAAGGAAAAATAAAAGAGGAAGAAAAATCTGTGAAGCCTAGAGCTGCAACTCATTATTGCCCATGTTTTTTTTTTTTCCTCCCTCTTCTTTCCTCTTTTTCCTCTATTCTGCAGCCCCCCTCCACTGTCACTCAGCCTCTAGCCCATTTTTTTGCTAGCGTCTTCCTCTCTGTCCCAGTTGGGTCCCACCAGTCAGTGAATCTGCCCTGGATGCTGCCACTAAGCGCTAATTACACTGTCTCTCTTGCTGCACTGACATTCATGGCCAAGAAGATCTGTGCTCCCTCCGTCTGCTAATCCACAGCTGGGGAAACAACACTCCAGTGAATATTCGGTGCCAACTGATGAGTTTAAAGTTGACGTGTAGCAGCATACAACAGCTGATGGGAATTCTTGCACTGCAACAAAGCATCCGCTAACATAACTCCACAGAATGACATGCAAACAGACTCTTAATTTCCCCCCATGTTCTGTTCTGTTGATGATTCAGTTTGATGTACTGTCCTGGGCTGTAAATATGAGTGATGCAAGGCACAAATGAGTGGTCATGCAGTCAACTCACATGCACATTGTGTACATGTTGCATAACAACTGAATGAACATCAAGTTGCAGATGTGAGATGAGACAGAGCACCAGAGCCAGTAAAAAGATCTTGGATCACTTACACAGTAATCCACTTTACTAGCTCTTCTTCAGATTGTAAACTCCCCAATCCCGTTACTCTAAGCCTTCTTTACCAACCTGGAGTTGCAGGTTGCCAAGCTAACACTGGTTAGACTCTGGCTCCCCCTCCTCATGTGTCCTGGCAGGATCTGTTAGCCGGAGACAAAGGGCTATGCGGTCGTGGTTGCTCCCGGGGGTTGGCTTGTTGATCACGTGCTTGGTCAAGCTAACCGCTCCCCTGCCATTACGAGGACAATGGCTAAGCCACAAACAAACCAGACGACAACAGTGCTAGTTAGCTTTACAGTAAACCCATGCTTTCAAAAGCCAATTTGCCATAGTGTTTTTGTTTTGCTCACAGTAGATTGGAGAGGGAGACAAAAACAAGCCGGATTCCAACCCACACTCAGTGAACACACACAGTCTGCCTTGGCCCATTTAATCAGAGAGGCAGCTCTGTCTACTGAAACAATGTTGCTCAAATATGAGCTTTGATCATAGTTTTATTATGCACTTGCATAAAGTAGAACAACATACACTGCTTTCATGGCCATTTACTCCATTTATCTTTTAATAAAACATTTGTTTCTGGCTGTCCTAATTGTCTCGTCGTTAGTTATTTTTCACTTTTTATTTTTGTTGCATAAATAAATAATTGCTCTAGATTTTTGGAGGGTTAGAGTTTTTACATATTTGTGAAATTCTGAGTATATGTACAGATTAGTATCTTGTCATTTCAGTCTGGGTGGGTAACACACCGGATGTGTCACGCTTTCGCAGATGTAGAGGTCATTGCTGTCCTGTAGTCTCTATAAAGTGTAGCAGCGACGACATCAGCACTGGGGCTCGGTGCGTGACGTGCCAGTGCGGCCATTTTGACAGACATAACAACACTAAGCGCATTGGAATGAATGAAATTAGGGTGCCGTTAGGTTTTAAAAACCAACTTTTTATTAGCTGACTACTCAGTAACAGAGAATGGAATGGAGAGAGCAAAACTTGGACTCAACATACTGTACAGGGACAAGCTAAACAATGAAGAAATAGAGCCTTACCCAAGCCAAATTGCGGACATTGTGGACTCGACCCATATGAACACACTGTATGGTCAGAAGATATTTCAAGATGCTACCACCACTTTACCGAGTGCATTTGATGCAGTACCTCATCGAAGGAACAAGCTATTATACATTTAATTCCATCCATAATGAAAGTCTCTCTTGGCCCTTGTTTTTTCACATCTGGGTGGGTACACAAACTGCAGATGCACAGTGTCAACAGCAAAACCGTCGTTCGTACAATGGTAGGTGATCACACACAAACACGTCTTCTTTTCTCTCTCTCTCTTCCTCTCTCTCACACACACACACACACATGCACACACCCTGAACAAATTATTATGTACTGCGGTACTGAATCAAATGCACTCGGTCAAGTGGTGGTAGCATCTCGAAATCATCTTCTGACCATACAGTGTAGATATAGGTCGAGTCCAGCAATGTCCGCAATTTGGCTTAGGTACCGCTCTCTTTCTTCATTGTTTAGCTTGTCCCTGTACAGTATGTTGAGTCCAAGTTTTGCTCTCTCCATTCAGTTTTCTGTTACTGTGTAGTCAGCTAATAAATAGTTGTTTTTTAAAACCTAACGTCATCCTAATTTCATTCATTCCAATGCACTTAGTGTTTTTATGTCTGTCAAAATGGCTGCGCTGGCAAGTCACACACCGTTCCCCCCCGTGCTGATGTCTATTTCTTTAGATGTTTAATGACTCTTAGCACACCTGTGATTTTGTGTCTCATTTTAAAAGCAGATTATTTGAATTGAAAAAAATAGTTTTTAATCTTAACACAGTCATAGCTGAATAAGATGAAAAATTGTGCAGTCCTGTTAGCAACATCTAACATGCATTATATAACACGTATTTACCATATAATGCATAATATACTGTATGGTAAGATGCACCATTATGAATGATTGGGTCTGTTTCTAGGGGGGTTTGAACTCTCTTCCTGTTTGAAGATTTCCACTGGT